AAATGGTGTTCTAAAGTCAGCTGGGGATCCAGGAGGACTCCCAAATTGCGGACCCTCTCTGAGGGGCGTATAATGATTTATATATTGCCAACCCAACCGTTAGATTATATTCCTAACAATGCACATATTAAATTAAGACAAAAAGGACAAATTATTCATGTTTTATTTAATCTAGCTTAATGACCTTCCATCAAACCTTTATTTCTTACGCAAAGAAAGTAAGCTTGATGCTGCATTCCATGTCGAGAACTCCCAATTTCTGCTTGCAAACGTTGACTCCTGATTATAACTTTCAAAGACTATAATCTAATTTGTTCAGTGCAGCTTAATTCTAACCAGGCATGTGATGGATTTCACAGCAGTTTTAACAGTTTAATGATGCCGCAATGCAACCTTTTCATTTCTGTTAAACTGTTATTACAAAATACATTTGTCATTTTAAAATATTAACAACAATGTTGGAACTCCAAAAAGCGACTATTTTATTCTTATTACTTCTTTTGGTAAATTGCTTTAATACTTCTAAGTTTAGTAGAATTTTTAAAGTAAACAATGTTTTTAACTTAGAAGCAGAGATAAGACATGGATATAGAAAGCCATGTGTACCTAAAGAAGAGATCCTGTTAACTTTTGTTTTTCTACTATTTTTCTTTCCTGACATGGCTTGACTTATCTGCTACTTTATACTATTGCATTGTATACTGTTGTTTTTCTTTATTCTTTATATGCCACTTAAAGTTGCCCTGATAAATAAAGGCACAAATTTGCATTCCCTTCTCATTTGATCTCAGAATTGCTATTCCCTCTATAAATTCATCGTTGACATTGTTGGTGTCTTCCACCTTCAAATGCTCATTGAAAATGAAGTGCTAGCTTGATTAAATTTACATCATGCACATTTGAACTAATCAGCCAAAGATGAAAGGTTGAATCAGTTTTATTTGGCTCTGTAGAACTCTTAAACAGTTTCTATTATTATCTGCCATAGTACCAAATAGTTTTGAATTTAGAGTTGCAAAAAAACTCAATAAACTCTGTTTATTTTGGTTTCTTATGCTGTGAAAATCTTGGGTTAAATTTCAGTTTGGTTAAAGATTTGTTCTGGGCAAGATGACTCAGTTGAGAAAGAAAAGAAGAACTAAAATAAACAAAATTCTTGTCTTTAGTATTTAGTATTGTACCTGTATTTATGTGCAAGAAATTTATATCTTCTTTTGATTTAAGCTGAACATATTTCAGCCAAGAATTTGCCTCATATACTGTCTGGGTTTTTTGCAGTCATTTCTGCCATATTAAACCAGAACCAAATAAACTCAAAATGACTTCTACTGCTTTTATTAGTAGGAATGATATAATATGAAATTTTGGCAGCCATTTGAAGGATAACTTTCTAATAATGGGTCTCTCCTCCATAATGTTATAGGTACAGAGGTTGGCTTGCTCGGCGGTTTTGTTATACTCTTTTCGTGCAAGAACGGGATGTTCATAAGAGCATGTTTGCAAATAATGTGATGGAAAATGTACTGAATAATAGCCGGTAAGATGTAGATAAAAGTGATTATTGTAATTGAAAAGTTCTTATTTATAAATAATAAATGTTCAACTTATGGGAAAGCCCCAATTGTTTTTTCTTATATAGCAGAAACTCTGGATTTTAAAAGCAATTAATTTGAATTTCTTCCTGTGTATGTGTACAAGCTATAACATCTTGAAATCCTAGTGTCTGGTTGTGGGGCATCAATTATATAGAGGCATTTTCAGTATTATGCAACTTTTGGGGGATTCAGCCATACTTTTGTCTAGCATTCTGCAGATTATACTTCAAAAAGAAATGAGTAGAATTCAATAAAACAAGAATAAAGGCTAAAATTCATTTTATTTACACATACATTTATTAAAATGAAGTACAGTTAATATGATTCCTCTTTTATCATAAAATTAGTGTTTAATTTTCCCTTAAGTAATATTAAAAATTGCAATTGTGTAATAACACACAGAAATCTCTGTTTCCTGTCACAGCAGAGCAACACAATAGCCATGAAGCGACCATGTTCATGAGCAGCCACCCGCTAAACCCCCTTTGCAGCCGGGCACAGCGCCACTCACTGACCTAGGGGTATCGCCAAGCCGTGTGAGCACCTGTTTGCCGCTGCCCGGCTCCCCACGGCTTGGTGCCTTCCAAATGCCAATGAACAGCGCTCTGCATGGCTGGAGAGGGGGGTTGCGCGAGCAGCTGTTCAGCTCTCGCTCACCCACCTCCCAGCCTCACGATCCATGGCCCAGCTCTCATTACGGAGCCAGGGCACCTCCGGCGCCATCCCAGCCTGGCTTTTTCCGTGGCTTCCAACGCGAGTCTTTCAGCGGGGACCACTCTGAGCGCACACTCTATGGTTATGCGTGGTCACTTCATGGCTGTTGTGTTGCGCTGCTGTGACAGCACAACACAGCCATTCGCCCATGAGACTGTGTCCAGTTCTTTGGGAGCCCGCTTGCAAGACAGCAGCCGCCCGACAATCCCCCTCTTCAGCTGGGCACAGTGCTACTCACCAACCTAGCAGTATCCCGAAGGCACCAAGCAACACCAAGCAACACGATCATCTTCCCTCCCCCCAGGTTCCCATGGCTTGGCACCTTCAGGATACGGCTGGGGAGCGGCGCTCTGCCTGGCTGGAGGTGGGAGGTTGTCCAGGGAGCTTATATGCGGAGGGGAGGGGCTTTCTGCCCACCAGAAAATTGTGGCATGGCTGTATTATAAGGACATGTCGTATTTTCAGGGAAACACGGTATATGATACATGAAGTCTTCAACTTATGACCACAGTTGAGCCCAAAATTTCTGTTGTTAAGTGGAACATTTGTTAAGTGAATTTTGCCCCATTTTATGACCTTTCTTGTCATAGTTGTTAAGTGAATCACTACAGTTGATAAGTTAGTAACCCAGTTATTAAGTCAATTTGGCTTCCCCATTGATTTTTTTTTGTCTGAAGATTACAAAAGGTGATCATGCGACCTTGGGACACAGCAACGGTCATAAATATGAAACAATTGCCAACATCAGAATTTTGATCACATGATCATGGAGATGCTGCAAGCGTAACTGATAAATGGTCTTAAGTCACGTTTTTGGTGCCGTTGTAACTGAACTAAATGAACTGTTGTAAGTTGAGGACTACCTGTATTTTTATGTTAAAAAAATCATGAATATTCCAATTACAAAGTACCACAGTATATAGTTAATTAGAATAATGATGAGAGGGATTTTTTGATATCTGACTTTTGGGTATTTTTAAATTGAAGATAAATGATCTGAAGTAGTTGAAATCTACAATAAATCTTCAATTCACTTTGTATTTGTAACATTTAGAGTGCAGAACGCTATTATACAGGAGGCTTCAGAATTATCAGCTGTAAATGGTCCTGATCAGTTGGAATCTAGAAACATTAACAGAATCAAGAAGAAAGCTAGAAGGATCCTTCAAGAAATGGTAGCAAATGTCTCTCCTTCTCTGATTAGGTAATAGTACTAAATTTTGTTTGTGAGGTCTGCGTATACTCAATATTGTGGATAGCTACAGAGATATTTATTATCTATTACTTTATCGTTCTTTCATTGTCATTGTTGCAAAATGAATAAAACACTTTCTCTGCCCTTGAAGAATTCATTCATATATTAATGTATCAAAAATAATTTTTCAATGGGACAAAATAACATTTTCTCAATTAGTGTCATTTTTATCAGCCCAACATTACACTCTGTTCAGAATTATGTGGAAGTAAAATTTCTTTGTATGTTATGTTTTCTATTGTTTAAACTGTATCTTAAAATTTTCACAGTCAATTAATACAGTTTTGGTCCATCATGAATGATGTAATTGTTTCTGTTTTGAACGTGGACAGAAACTAGTATATTTGTATCTATATATTGTTTATACAAAACTGATTATATGGTGGCTTAACTTATATTTTTCTTTCAGGTTAACAGGTTGGGTTTTATTGAAATTATTTAACAGCTTCTTTTGGAATATCCAGATTCATAAAGGCCAACTAGAGATGGTGAAAGCAGCAACTGAGGTAATAAAAATAGTCAAGGCAATATATGCAATGGTAGCATTTTTATACCATATTATATATCTAGTTATTTTCAGTATCAATCTGTGAAATATTCAGGAAAAAAATTACCTTTATTTTTCTTTCCTGAAAAGACACCTTTGATAAAAAGATATAAAAATAACATTCATCTATATCCAGCAGAATCTGTTTTGCAATGTCAACTCCAGCATATAATCACTTCAATTGAATGGCTTGTTTAATAAATAAAAATAATGATTTAAACGTGGCTGCCAGAAGTTTTGTGTGTGTAGTGAATTGTGTTAGTGTATGTCTTCCTCACCCAGGCCACAGTAGGAAGCACAATGTTTATAAGGAGAAATGCAAAAACTAGGTTTTGTAAAAAAAAAAATTCCAGTATCATTTGGTTTCTGAAGAATCTTGAAATTATTATTGGGACTGAATCTGAACAGAATCATTACTGGCCAAGCAAGATATATTGTAGTAAATTATCAATGAATGAAGTATGCTTGAAATAACATTTACTTGAAATATCAGTAATTGGAGATTATTTAAGAGGTAGTTTACTATAAAGTAGTTATCTATGGTTTATTCAATATATTTTTGCCATTAATTTTCAGATGATTCAGTTTTATTGTTCAAAGTTTTCATTGCTGTATAATCAAAATACAAATTAATATGTTTCAAGTCCACCTTATGTTAGCCATAGTATCATACAAATAAAGCAATTATATTTAATTGCTGAAAATGTTGCTGCAAATCTGTTGCCTGTGAAAGATTTCTATTTCATTCATTTCCTTTTCCTTCCTCTTCAATTGGCAATGCAAATATTGCCAAGAGAAACCCAGTGACAGTACAGTAGTTTGATATGTTCAAATTATGTTTTGATATTGAACTCTTTTTCTTCTTCTACATACAGCTAAATTTGCCTCTTGTCTTCTTACCGGTTCACAAATCTCACATTGACTACCTACTCCTCACATTCATTCTTTTCTGCCACAATATCAAGGCACCCTTCATTGCAGCTGGAAATAATCTGAATATTCCTATTTTCAGGTAAAAGAATATTAGTTCTTTTACTATTTTAATGTCCACCATTTTGTTCCCTTACCTTATGAAAATAATACACATTTGTGTTTTTTAAATCTGATATAACCTTTGTTAAATTTGCATTCTTTCCCTTTTAATTAAAGAGGCATGCATATTTTATTTCGTATCCTTAGCACCTTAATCCACAAACTTGGAGGTTTTTTTATTAGAAGAAAATTAGATGAGAGACCTGATGGCCGAAAAGATATTTTATACAGAACGTTACTGCATGTGGTAAGTACATTAAAAAAAAAAAGTTTACTTCTGAAAATTCGCTAATAATACCTGTGCACCATTTCAGTGCACAGTGCGTATTTAAATTTGTAGCAAAGTTCAAAATTTAAATCAGTTTATTTCACTTTATAAATGAGGTATAGTTCCTTTCAGAGCTAAGCCTAAATAATATAAAAGATTCAGTAAAATAGAAAGGCTTCTGCCAAGAAAACAGTGAAAAACCTTATTGTACTTTTATGTATTTCATGGAAACTGATGATTTCATGGATCATTGTAATTATGCATGTCAGTGGTGGTATGGACTATACATGTGTCCTGAAGAAATTTGTAAACTTTAGTTAAACGTTTAAGCTGCATCTCTCATATCTATGCAACTATATGCTCTTAGTTGCAGGCACTATTGTTAGTAGATACCAAAGTTACTTGTAATCTTTCAGTAGTAATTACAACTACAACTACATGTCTTTCCAAGAGTTGTATTTTACAGATGTGGGCATGTTCTTGTTTAAATGATTAGAAATTTTGTTCCCACACAGAGTTCCAAATTTGAACAGTGCTCATGGTGGTTGCCCACCTTACAAATTACTGATTTGAAACAATGCAAAGAACTTGTGCCTGATCTTGTTGCCATTCTCTTTTCAGCATGTTGAAGAGTTGCTTCGTCAGCAGCAATTCTTAGAGATATTTCTGGAGGGGACACGGTCCAGAAGTGGGAAAGTAGCCTGTGCAAGGGCAGGTCTTTTATCAGTGGTGGTGGATGCTCTATATTCAAATGCTGCTCCTGATGTACTAATTATACCTGTGGGAATCTCCTATGACAGAATAATTGAAGGTCACTATACTGGTGAGCAGCTGGTAAGAGATGCTATTGTATGCTTAACATATTTATAGAGTGTAGTTACTATTGACAGTTCTTCTAATAAACTATAGATGTAAGACAGGTTAACTTCCCTCTGTACTTAATATGTTACAAAATAAAATCATGCAGAAAAGAATATAATTCAGGGAAAAAATATATGTTTATTTAGTGAAAGCAACTCTATAACAACTTCACACGATTTGGAAGACCAATTAATTTGATTTAGTTTTATTATTGAATAAGAACAGAACAAACATGATTTGGTGTGTGCATTAATGTAATATGATTTTCCCCTTTCTTTTTCTTTTCAACGTCTTTCAGGGAAAGCCCAAGAAGAATGAAAGTCTATGGAGTGTAGCACGAGGAGTCTTTCGAATGTTACGAAAGAATTATGGGTGTGTTAGAGTAGATTTCGCTCAACCGTTTTCTTTAAAAGTAAGCGTATATTTTATGACAAAAATTCCATTGAGAAACTATGAAAAAGATATTTTAAACTATTCGTATTTCAGTAGAAACAATATTTCAAGTTTTTACTTCATACACAATGGTGTTGCTCAAACAAAAGAGTTTTGTAGCTGAAAACTCATGCTAGAAAATGGAGTGCTGAATATGAGATGCCGTGGCTTCAAGGTATTAATCAAAAGAAAACAATACTGGTACCAATAATAACTGGAGCAAATGAAACATCACTAGAACACCCTTAACTACTGTTAGTCAATGCAAAAGGCTTTATTTTAATCACTTTACATCGTTCACGATATCATCAAACAATATCTACCTATTCCCAGATCCTTGGGAAGAACTCGATAAGTGGATGAAATTGTCTAATTCAGTGCAAACATCTTGCTGACTTCAACCAACAAAAACAACAATAATACACTTGGAATCAGCTTATGTTCTTTGATGATACATTAATATTATTAAACAACAACACCCGACTGATCAAAGACTAAGACATCAAGTAGAGCCTTTTCTTTTGAAACAGTGATGCAAGAAATCCCACCTAGAAATATGTAAGAAATTTATTATTACCTTTTCAGTTTGGTTGTCATTAAGTAAGGGCTGTCAAACTCATGGCCCATAGGCCAGATGCATCATGCACTGGCCATGCCCACGTCTAGGGAAGAAAATGCTAAGTGAGCACCTGTCTACCCTAGACGAGTTCAAATCATCAGGACCAGATTACACCCCAGGGTTCTGAAGGAACTGGCAGATGAGATCTCAGAACCACTGAACTATATCTTCTGGAGATTCTGGAGCACCGGGGAACTGCCAGAGGACTGGAAAAGAGCTGATGTGGTTCCCAACTTCAAAAAAGGAAAAAAAAAAAAGATCCAGGAAACTATAGACCTATCAGCCTGACTTCAATACCAGGAAACATTATGGAAAAGATAATCAAGCAATGAATTAGCGAACACCTAGAAGTAAACAAAGTAATCGCCAAAAGCCAACATGGCTTTGTCAAAAACAGACTAATCTTATTGCATTCTTTTGACAAAGTGACAAAATTAGTGGACCAGAGGAATGCTGTCGATATAGTTTACTTGGACTTAAGTAAGACATTTGATAAGGTAGACCATAACCTACTACTAGACAAAGTAGAGGAATGTGAGTTGGACAGCATCACCACCAGATGGATTTGTAACTGGCTGACCAATCACACTCAATATGTAGTCCTCAATGGAACTGCATCTTCATGGAGGGAACTATGCAGTGGAAAACCCAAGGCTCTGTTTTGGGCCCAGTACTCTTCAACATCTTCATCAATGATTTGGATGAGGGAATAAATGGGGAACTCATCAAATTTGCAGATGACACCAAGCTGACAGGAATAGCCAACACTCCAGAAGACAGGCTTAAGATACAGAAGGATCTTGACAAACTTGAACATTGGGCACTATCTAAAATGAAATTCAATGGTGAAAAGAGTAAGGTTCTACATTTAAGCAAGAAAAACGAAATGCACAAGTACAGTATAGGTGGTACCTTGCTCAATAGTAGTAACTGTGAGAGGGATCTTGGCATCCTAGTGGACAACCATTTAAATATGAGTCAGCAGTGTGCAGCAGCTGCCAAAAAAGCCAACACAGTTCTAGGCTACATAAACAGAGGGATAGACTCAAGATCACATGAAGTGTTAATACTACTTGGAATACTACATTCAGTTTTGGTTGCCACAATGTAGAAAAGATTTGGAGACTCTAGAAAGAGTGCAGAGAAGAGCAACAAAGATGATTAGGGGACTGGAGAGTAAAACATGAACGGTTGCAGAAACTGGGTATGTCTAGTTTAATGAAAAGAAAGACTAGGGGAGGCATAATAGCAATGTTCAATATCTCAGGGGTTACCACAAAGAAGAGGGAGTCAAACTATTCTCCAAGGCACCTGAGGGTAGAACAAGAAGCAATGGGTGGAAACTAATCAAGGAGAGAAGCAACTTAGAACTGAAGAGAAATTTCCTGACAGTTAGAATTAATCAGTGGAACAGCTTCCCTCCAGAGGTTGTGAATGCCCCAACACTGGAAGTCTTTAAGAAGATGTTGGATAGCCATTTGTCTGGAACAGTATAGGGAACGGTATAAAAAGAGCCGATGTGCCGCAGTGGTTAAGGTGCAGTACTGCAGGCCACTTCAGCTGACTGTTATCTGCAGTTCAGTGGTTCTAATCTCACCGGCTCAAGGTTGACTCAGCCTTCCATCCTTCCGAGGTGGGTGAAATGAGGACCCAGACTGTGGGGGCGATATGCTGACTCTGTAAACCGCTTAGAGAGGGCTGAAAGCCCTATGAAGCGGTATATAAGTCTAACTGCTATTGCTATTGCTAATTCCTGCCTAGGCAGGGGGTTGGACTAGAAGACCTCTAAGGTCCCTTCCAACTCTGCTATTGTATGTCCGGTTTAGCGAAGTGGAAAAAGTTGCGATATATCACATGACACCACGAGTTTGCTTTAGATTCTAGGGGTAATTAATGCACTTAAAAATTACATGTTTTAGTATATTATATTATTGGCTAATTATCAGTATTTACTACTATGCTGGTCTCTGAAAATCCTTTTGCTAATTGGTAAGGTAGTTGTTACAAATGTTATGTTTTTTCAGGAATATTTAGATTGCCAAAATCAAAAACCTTTGCCTGTTCCTCTTTCTTTGGAGCATACTCTGTTACCAGCTGTACTGCCTTCAAGGTAAGATGGAACTGAGGATTTTATATCAATGATGAACAAGCAACAATCAAATATACTGTTAAATCTACAGACTAAATTATAAATGTTGAGGAAGTTCTTTTCAAAATATCAGTTTATCATATTTAAGGACTCATGATCAAAATATTTTCCGTGAATGTCTTTTGAATAAGTTAGATTCTGCTTAGATAACAAATCTTAAATTAAAGCATGATTTACTATTTTTGCAATACAACCTGGATGCTACCATGGGTGGTCTGGGCAGTCTCTTTGTTAATACAATGTGATTCCATGAAGCAAACAATTGTAGGAAAAATCTGTCAGACTTAGATCTATAATTTAATCAGGGAAGTGGGGTTCATATTTGGCAAAGGACAGTAATAGACTTGTCCTATAGTATTTTTCACAATAATTTTCTTATAAGACAAAAGAACACTTTATCTGCAAATTCAGTGCCGTCTCCCTCGCAAATGTAGTCTTTAGCATGGGGAACTACGCACTTAAATATTTTGGTGTCTTATGACGACGTAATTTGTAAGTACAGTATATCCATTCTGTTACATTTTCAGGCCTAACTACATAGTGGGAGAAAGTTCAGAAACTGTCCTTCCTGAGTCCAGGAATTTATCTTGTGAGCCACTGAGAAGACAATTAATAGCCAACTTGGCAGAACACGTAATGTTCAGTAAGTATTCAATGTGGAATTCATTCTGCATTTTCTCTGTCACATCCAACTTTCTAAATAACAGGGATTTCCTCTTTCTGTATCCTTTCTTCTTTTGTCTTAAAATTGCGCAGTTTTTAATCTGAGAGATGTCATTTTGAATAAGTCTCTTTATTACTCATTGTATTTACTGGATTTTAGAATTTTAGAATAAGGCCACACTTGGAATACTGCATCCAGTTTTGGTCGCCACGATGTAAAAAAGATGTTGAGACTCTAGAAAGAATGGAGAGAAGAGCAACAAGGATGATTAGGGGACTGGAGGCTAAAACATATGAAGAACGGTTGCAGGAACTGGGTATGTCTAGTTTAATGAAAAGAAGAATTAAGGATGACATGATAGCAGTGTTCCGATATCTCAAGGGCTACCACAAAGAAGAGGGAGTCAAGCTATTCTCCAAAGCACCTGAGGGTAGGACAAGAAGCAATGGATGGAAACTAATCAAGGAGAGAAGCAACCTAGAACTAAAGAGAAATTTCCTGACAGAACAATTAATCAGTGGAACAATTTGCCTCCAGCAGCTGTGAATGCTCCAACATTGGAAGTCTTTAAGAAGATGTTGGATAGCCATTTTTCTGAAGTGGTGTAGGGTTTCCTGCCTAAGCAGGGGGTTGGACTAGAAGATCTTCAATGTCCATATTTTATATATTCTTAAAATTGTAATACTTCAGTTCTGTGGTTTTTGTGGAGGCAAACCCAAACCATTTAGCTGAAAATATTTTGGTTCCTTCTGTCTCTGCGTATTTTGCTGAAGATGAAACAATTTAACTAAACTTGATTTTTAAAATAAGACAGGATCCTTAGGTGTCAGATATTATTCACAAAAGGAATAGGACGAAAAACAAGGAGAAAAACAAAACTAGGCCTCAGTTCTTAAAGTGATAATTTGCATGATAATCAGATGGGATAAACTGACTGCTGTTAGGCAACAGTTAAGGAAAAGTAAAGGCTGATTTGTCAGCTTGCCTCCACACATACCCCCCCCCCAATGCCACAATTCATAAATGTGTCTTTTAATGTGACAGGACACTATTGTATATCTTAGAGAATGAAACCAAAATGATGTCCAAATTCTGTTTTGTGATTGATTTGATTGAATGTTCATTCTTCAGTGTTGCTAATAAGCTTTCAGCAGTAAAAAAACTTTGTCAGGTTATTTGTTTATAGGAATTTATATAGTGCCCAACTCTAACAACTCCAGGCAATCTACAAAGTCAAAACATAAACAATCATATCAACAACAGAACTACAGTACAGTAAATCATTTGTTATTCAAGTGATAACTTCTGGTCACTTATAAATTTATTAGAAAACCTTTAAAATTATCAAAAGTCTCCTAGTTAAATAGCACAATTTTTAACACATAGTAAAACATAAATAAGGAATATGTAAGTGTAGTCCCTGGGATGCAGCATGGAAGCCATTATGGAGAAATACTATATTTAGGTCCATGTCTGTTTGAGATAATGCACCTTTTCTCTCTGGCTCCTTCCTTTCCCCTATTCTATCATAACCTTATTAAACTTTAAAACAACCATTGTATATCCCTTGAATAAGCAGGCATCTGTTAAAACACTTCAACAGCCCCATTCCACTTAGATATACACCATTGCTGTTACTCTAGAATTGGGCTTTCCATACTACTCTTCAGTCTCTCAGAGACCTATATGATTCTCCAGTTTTCATCTAAAACAATAATATCCAAGGATTCATACATGGTTGCTGCCTCCAGTCCTTACCATAAGGCCAGCTTTTCCTACTGCCCTCAGAGTTGACAGCCAAACTTTGCTATCTGTTTTTACCTCCACTCTTCATTTCCACTCTTCACTCTTTCAGAATGCCATGTATTTTAATATTTGTTGTTAGTTGCAAAGTTGTGTCTGACCCATTGTGACCCCATGGACAACGTTCCTCCAGGCCTTCCTGTCCTCTACCATCCTCTGGAGTTCATTTAGGCTCACGCCTACTGCTTTGGTGACTTTATCCAGCCACCTCTTTCTATGTCATCCCCTCCTTCTTTTGCCCTCAATCTTTTCCAGCATTAGACTCTTCTCCAGTGAGTCCTTCCTTCTCATTAGGTGGCCAAATTTCATCTTCAGGATCTGGCCTTCTAAAGAGCAGTCAGGATTTATCTCCTCTCCTCTAGGACTGACCTGTTTGATTCATCTTACAGTCCAAGGGACTCGCAGGAGTCTTCTCCAACGCCATAGTTCAAAAGCCTCAATTCTTTGACGCTCAGCCTTTCTTATGGTTTAACTTTCGCAGCCAAACATTGCAACTAGGAAAACCATAGCCTTGATTATATGCACTTTGTTGGCAGGGTGATATATCTGCTTTTTAGTATGCTGTCTAGATTTGCCATAGCTTTCCTTCCCGGAACAAGCGTCTTTTAATTTCTTGACTGCAGTCCCTATCTGAGGTGATCTTGGAGCCCAGGAAAATAAAATCTCTCACTAACTCCATTTCTTCCCCATCTATTTGCCAGGAATTGAGAGGGCCGGATTCCATGATCTTAGTTTTTTTAATGTTGAGTTTCAAGCCAACTTTTGCACTCTCTTCTTCACGCACATCAAGAGGCTCTTTAGTTCCTCTTCACTTTCTACCATTAGAGTGGTACCATCTGCATATCTTAAGTTTTGGATGTTTCTCCCAGCAATTTTAACTTGTGATTCATTAGCCCTGCCTTTTTCATGATGTGCTCTGCATATAAGTTAAATAGGCAGGGTGACAGTTTACAGCCTTGCCGAACTCCTTTCCCAATGTTGAAACAATCAGTGGTTCCATGTCCAATTCTTGCTGTTGCTTCTTGATCCAAATATAAGTTTTAATATTACAATGGATTAAAATATTGTTTTTGGTGTACTAAAGCTTAATGTCTATTTTTGATCAATAGATGGTTTTTTTGTGCTGCCTTATTGAAAATGGAAAATCTTTCTGAATATAACCATAATACTTAATTCAACCGTGACTGACATTTTATAACTGTTGCTTTCTGAGCCCTTCACTTGCAATCCAAAGTGCCAATATAGCTTTACTCTGTTTTGTTTGCTTTTAGCTGCTAACAAATCATGTGCTGTGATGTCAACACACATTGTTGCCTGTTTGCTGCTCTATCGACATAGACAGGTAAGGCTGCCATGCTTCTGCATTCACTGCATAGCCTTGCAAAGTCCCAGCAATGCTTAAAACATGTTCTATGCTTTCATTTCCCCTACTTTATCTTATTTATTTTGTTGAGGAATAGGGTGCAATCATAAGCTATGTGTAAACTGACTTTGTTAATTATTTATTCTTCTCTGAAATAAGAAAGAAACCTACTATACACATATTTAGACACAACCCTTATCCAGCTACAAGCTGTATTGCATCTTGTCTGTTGCCTCTCTTCCCACCCGGGAATGTACCATTTCCTTCCTGGGAAAACTGCTGATTCATTGTAATCCATCACACCACCCTCTGTGGGCACCATCTCTCACACAAACCAACAAAATATAACATCACTGTTGCCCCACTATGTTGTTTCAGGACAGGATTCCTAAGTATCATAAATGTGATTTCAGTATTGTCCAGGATTATAACTCTCATTCCTTTGAAATTACTCTAACCAATCCTATTTAGCATTTCTTAACTTGTGATTCGAAGTTGTAATCAATATATCAATGCAATCAATATACACACACATAGACATCTTTCCTTGTGCTTACTAGGGCTTTTCCATTATACTGAAGCTATTTATTTGTTTGTTTTGTTTGTTTGTTTGTTTAATGTCTACTCTTAATGTCTTCTCTTCCTTCTCAAATGATTTACAAAATAAGTTACGGGGTGGGAGTGAGGGATCTTAAATAAAACTGTCAAAAACCAGTGCCTAAAACAATACTTTTTTTTTTCTTTTAACGACCCTGTAATTCCTTGCATTGGGGTGGAGTCGGGGAGACTGAATGGAACTGAGCGTTTACTGGCTGGATACCCTTCCTAAAGCCTACAGGGAGCTTGCAACAGATATTTTCTCTGCAGAGAGAGAGAGAGAAATATCTGCCGCTACCTGGGATGGAACTCACAGCCTCCTGACAGTGAGGCAAGAGCTCCATTTCTAGGCCAGCATTCCGCTCAGCTAAAAACAATATATACATACTCTAAAAACTGTGTTTATTTTAGGTAAACAAAACTAAAACAAATAAGCCAATTTAGGCAGCCTGAACATGGAATATTTCTTGCCCTTCTGGCCTTAGCAAATATAAACATTTTCAGTGGTTTCTGAAAGAAGAATGTGGGCAAACAAGTTTTTTTCCCCTGGATAGGCTTGTATAATTGGAGAGCTGTCACTTATTTACTTCAATACTTTATCTAGGGAATTGATCTTTCTAAGCTGGTGGAAGATTTTTTTTCCATGAAGGAGGAAGTCTTGGCTCGGGACTATGACTTGGGATTTTCAGGGAATTCTGAAGATGTTGTCATGCACGCTATCCATTTGTTGGGAAATTGTATCACCATCACGAACACCAGTCGGAATAATGAGTTCTTCATCACTCCCAGCACAACTGTTCCTGCTGTCTTTGAACTCAGCTTTTATAGCAATGGGATACTGCATGTCTTCTTCAAAGAGGCTGTGATCGGTATGTTCGAAAGCTGTCCTTGCTCTGATGCCTGAAATACTCTTTGCCTAATGATGCTGTTACTATTTAAGAGGTTGAGTTTGACAGATCATGCAGTCATTTAGGAATAAGTTTGAATATATCTTCTCTTTTGCTTCAGCGTGTAGTCTTCATGCTTTACTGAACAAAAGGCACAGAAATGGTATCAGTGGAATTCTGCCCAATGTGGTTAGTCAAGAACAACTGGTCCGAAAAGCTGCCAGCCTCTGTTATTTGCTGTGCTATGAAGGAACTGTTTCATTGGTAAGTGTTTGGCTGCAGATTTGTTAGACACATATTCTGTTGCTACCACCATATCATTTGTATTATGCTACGGTACTGTGGGTCAAATAGAGATGTACTGGAGTTCTTAGAAAGAGGAAATGAAGAAGGGAAGAGAAACAGGTAGCTGCAAGCAGTAGCAATTTCCCTTTACATACAGAAGTAACAGACAAATTCTCAAATGTGACCAGAAAAAGGAACATGGTTATTAATTCCTAATTGAGGAACTGTTCATTGAATGATCTCCCAGCAGACACTGGCCAATTTAGAACCAAAGGTCTACTCAGTTAAAAATTAATCCATTCTGCATTAGAATTTTTAACAACGTTGGAATTTGAAGTGTAAAGGATATGTCAAGCATTAAAGCTGATAGTATAACACAAGGCAGACTGGAACAAGCTATGTAAAACAATATACAACACTAATTGAAATAATACACAATGACACATATCAAAGTATGTATGACTAATAATTTTTAAACCTTCTGGAATAGCTTTTGGGATGAAACTTTGACAAAAGCATTATCAAATATGGAGAAAGGGAGTTTCTTTCTAGTTCTGTAATTGTTTATTTTCCTGCTTTTATTTTTCAATTATGCTGGAATTAAAATAAATGCATTACCTGTGTTTCCTCTGAAATAGGAAAATATAGAAAAATTTACAAGCACTCTTTCACATACATACTCAGATATGATATACTACACATTGACTACCTGTTTCAGAGAAATAACAATTATTGACTTGAAGTAGCTGCAGAGGAAATTAACAATTTCTTTTCTTGACATAACCTTTTTAAAGTAAGGAATTGTTGTTCATTTTTGCAAGAATATTCAAAAGCAGCAATTAATAGAAAGCAATAGCACATTGAAAGAGAATAGTCATGACTGATCTTATTTGTTTTCCTATTCAGCCCTGTCAGCTGTTATGTCAAGTGTGCCATGAAGCAATTGAACAGTTCATACAATATGGAGTTCTTTTAGTAGCAGAGGTAAGATTTTGATTATGTTTTTTTATGTGTCTAGATAATTATTTATGGACCTTAAACTATAATAATTGGCAACTTTTTATACTCATTTCACTGCAGAAAATCTTTTGAGAATTTTTCAGACCAAAATAAGTTTGTATACGTTGTTTTGTATATATAATTTTATTGTAATCAAGAAAATCAGTGCTAACAAAGTAATATAAAAGAAGAAAAAAGAAGAAAAGGAAATAAAAGGAAAAAATGCAAGGAAATAAAACTGAAGAAAAATGGAAAACAAAATATAAAGTGCTTCTGATAGCCTTCACATCGGTTATAAATATTTAAAAAATGGGATGGGATAAGAAAAGAAAAAAGAAAATAAATTCGGGTTTCAATTGAATATTGATTTTTAAAATCTGTATCAAAGTATGTATTCAGATCCAAACTTTTTCAGCTTTTTTATATGTCCACTAAACATGATAAAATATTCCTTCATGTTCCTAATTCCAAGTATTAATTATATAGGTTCAAATTTAAAGCATTGTGTGCACAGAATTCTTCATAAGATGAAACTATCAAAGTAAAAAACTCAAACACTAATGTTTGTGCAAATTGCTGTAGAAGAAATTATTTAATTATTTAAGACACTGGAATTCTGAAAAGTCTGAATATGCCTCAGGTGTTTTTATACCTTAACACATGAAATATACTTGAAGAATGTTTCTATAGTAATGAAGTTGAATTGGTTCAATTTCTGTGAAATCCAGCTTCTTTGGTTTATAATGAGACACATTTCTTTAGAAATACTTGGATCTTCCTTTGCTAACACCTGAAATGATTACAGAAAAGCTTGGTGGTTGCCCCTAGAATAAAAAGCAGTATTCACAATGGAAAAAATAGATTCTTACAGTTCTATTTTTCTATTCTAAGCAGGAAGAACAGGAGGATATTAGTTCTAGCCTTACAGAGCAAAACTGGGAAAAGAGTATTCCAGAGCCATTATCTTGGAGAAGTGATGAGGAGGATGAAGATAGTGATTTTGGTGAAGAACAACGGGATTGCTACTTGAAGGTACTCAGTAGATTTGTAGAACCAACTCCTTTATGTGTGTGTGTAATTTTTACATAGCATAAAATGGATTAAATGGAAAAAAGGCAGAAAAAAGTGCAAGAAATGAAAAAATTAATAAAAAACTGCAAATATACTTATATTTTCATAGTGTCATATACCAATATTTGTATTGTCATACATAATTTTATACAATTTTTCTCTTAAACTCTGACGCACTATAAATAATACCAATTATCACATTCTCTGCTAAATGTTTATTTCAACTTGTAGAAGCAATTCTTAAGGGTTTCACATTTACTGTTCAGAAGTTTTCAATGTGAAAGTCAGACTGACTTTGAGCTCTTTTATTGAAAAACAAAGAATATCTCTGGAACAACTAATTTTGGTTCTTTTTTAAGACAACTAAGATTGTTTCTAAGAAATAAGCCAATATTTCTTTTCAGCAGATTTTGAGATACATTGTTCTAATCATAGCTTGGTGAACAATTAAAAAAGCAACAACAACCCACACACAGTAAAGTAGTAATGGAGTTTTAGTTGATTTTCCCTTTTAAAAAAATGCTCTTGGTTTATATGTTCATGGGTTGATAAGATGCGGGCACAGGACAAACAAAAACTAAGACATAGAAATAAACAAGGAAGTCAAAAAGCAAACCATATTTTATATTAATATCTTGTGCTAATATAATAAGCCAATAAGCCAAAAACAACCTCTAGTTTACCACCTAAGATGAGCCATAAAGCCCTTCATGGTATTGGACCTGGGTACTTGAGAGACCGCCTGCTGCCAATCATCTCCCAAAGACCCATCAGATCCCACAGACTTGGCCTCCTCCGAATTCCATCTGCCGGCCAATGCCAGTTGTCGACCACCCAGAGGAGGGCCTTCTCTGTGGCTGCTCCGGCCCTTTGGAACGAGCTCCCCGCAGAGATCCGGACCCTCACCACCCTCCAGGCTTTCCATAAAGCCGTTAAAACCTGGCTGTTCCGACAGGCCTGGGGTTGACGAGTTCCCTTCCCCGCTCGAATTGGGTGACTGTTGATCGTTTTTAAACCCTCTCTGTATCTTGTTTGTTGGTTGCTTTTTGTTTTGTATTACTCCCTCCCTTGGGTTTGTTAGCCACCCTGAGTTTCTCCGGGGAATAGGGCAGCATATAAACCTATAATAATAATAATAAACCTATTCCCTGGCCTGCCCTCTTGCAATCTGATAACATCTGAGTTTTAGTGTGTGAATTTAGCATTATTGTTGCATTATCCTCTTAGTGATTGTTGTTTGTATTATTTTGCTTGTCTTACTAGGTGAGCCAGTCACAGGAACACCAGCAATATATCTCCTTCCTGCAGAAACTGCTAGGGCCATTACTGGAGGCATATAGTTCAGCCGCCATTTTCATCCATAATTTCAGTGGACCTGTCAGGGAAACAGAATGTCTTCAAAAGTTACACAAATACTTAATATCAAGAACAGAAAAGAATGTTGCAGTGTACGGTATGTCAAATAGTTATTTCTGGAGAAGTATTGGATTTGTGATTTAATTATATTGTTTTAGATTGGCTTTTTAAATCTATAAATTAACAATATAATGTTATTGCTATATTCACAGCTGAGAGTGCCACCTATTGTCTTGCCAAAAATTCAATTAAAGTTTTTAAAGAAATGGGGGTAAGTCTAAATACTTATTGCTTCATAATAATTATAGCAAACCTAAACATTAGTCCTTAGCATGTAACACAATGTATGTGATCAACTTTACATATTCGTTGTTGTGTGTGCATTTATATAGTTTTATCAAGAGTAAAATGCAAAATGGAAAAACAAAAAAGTGCCCATCCAATATTTGTTGCTTCATTTTTAATCTGACATTACAATATAAAACAGGGGTGTCAAACTTGCGACCTGGGGGCCGGATGTGTCACATGCTGGCCATGCCCACCCCCAGGTTAGTGAAAGGGAAAAGTCATGATATGTCATGTGACAACAACATGATGCCACGAGTTTGACACCCCTGGTATAAAATGTTCAAAAATGTTGAGCATTTTTGTCAATCTTTTCAGGTAGTATGGATTCTCTAAAATAAACCACCCCAAATTTTGGCAGCGCTTGAGAAATTTGAAATTTTTATGAGCTCTTGCATGATCTTACATAGCCTACTGTCTAGAGAGATCATGCAGAAAAACTAACAAATCTCATTAAATGTGATGATCTTGTAACACTTTGTCCATTTCATTTTTAAAATTAATTTTGAAGCCATGTTACTGAGAGCATCATGTTCCAACCTCTGGACTCTGGTAATTCAAGAAATTAACTCAAATTGTCTAAATGATACTATGCCAAATTATTAATGTGTTTCTGAATATGTTTGTTAGATTAGGTGTCCATGTATTTAGAAAATATTCAGCAATTTAACAGGATAAAAAATGATTTTTTTAAAATGATAGAATGTATAGCTAAATGTGACATACATTGATAACACTGTTAAAATAAGGATTTGTTTATTGAATATTGTCTCAGATTACAACTTCTTTTACTATTTCAATCAGGAAGAACAGGATCCAATCAGCGTCGATCACCGGAACCAAAGGTTTATTCTTCCAAGCTTTCGGGCTCAACATTAGGGAACTTCTCTCTCTCTAGAATGTTATATTCATTTTCCAGAATATGTTCTATTCTGGAGAGACAGAAGTTATCCAATTATGGGCTCCAGCATGATTTGAAAGAATAAACCTTGGTCCCAGTGACAGATTCAGATTGGATCCTGCAGCATTGTCCTGGGGCACATATCTTTTTCCTCATTTGCATGGCCAAGAGCAGATCACAGACTTACTTTGACAAGAACTGATATTTTGGCACTAGAACTGAACAAAGTATTTAATTTTCCAAAATTGTTGATTGTCTATGTTACCTATATAGAATCAATGCATATTATGATTGTTAACAAATATGCAATGTGCCTTGAAGTTATTATGGAAAATATGTTTTTCTTGCAGGTATTTAAGGAGACAAAACAAAAGAGAGAGAACATTTTGGAACTAAGCAGTACTTTTCTACCTCATTGTAATCGGCAAAAACTATTAGAATTTATTCTGAGTTTTATTGTACTTTAGAATATCTCTCAACTTCTCCTAGTAGACTTGGACAATGTGATGCAAAGCTTCAGGGTTTGGCTCTGCTTCCATAGAATCAGTAGTGCCATTTTTGGCAAGGCCTTATCTGACCCAAGCCATAAAAAGACAAGTGCCTTCTTACATATGCACATATGGAACTACAATATTTAGAATTCACACACATTGCTATCATCCAACATGTTCAGTCAATGTATGCACAACCCCTGAGTTTTTCCATAAATCTGTATCAGGTATTACGGTTTTTACATTGCGAAGTACCACACTTACTTCAAAACTAATGAATGACAAATGCACCTATCTTCCAGATTTGAACTGCATAAAATAATTTGGATTACTCTGTGAACTTAGCAAAAGCTGTGTCAGTATAACTACTTCATTGTATTCAGTACTGTAAAGGAATGGTTTTTAGAAAAAAAATTAATGGGGGCGTGGGGGGGGTCTGAAAGGGCATATAATATTTCTACTAATAGTATGGTAACATAGTAAGCAAAAATGGCAAAGTAGTCACCAGGATCTCATTAAAATTAGTTGAACAGCAAACAGCCTGCACAGAGTGTGATCCAAGCAGCAAAATATGAGTATAAGAATGCATCAATCTTTCTAATGTATAAATAAGAATTCAAAATTCATTAAATTGGTGCACTAAAAAAACAGATAACCCAATTTGTCCTGCAAAGTTCTAAAAGCTTTTCCTGATGAGCATTTAAACTTTAGTACTTTGTTTTCCTTGCAAGCACTCGGAACTCAGATGTAACTCTGGCTTAAGCACCCTGTGGTGCTTTTCCAAAAGGCAACTGACTTCTGAAGAACTGAAGAAGCTTCTTGAATGAGGAGCAAAATATTTTCAAGGAAAAACCAAGAAACTCCAGTCAGAACTGAAGAAGCTTCTTGAATGAGGAGCAAAATATTTTCAAGGAAAAACCAAGAAACTCCAGTTGCCTTTTGGAAAAAGCCCCTTTGGGACAATCATGATGATTGAGAATCTCCATAGACATCTGGCTTAAACTCTGTAAATTGATGAAATAACCTAATAAATACATTATCTCATTCTAACCTTGATTGATTTTGGATGGAAAATGCTTTGCTATCATAAAGTTTTACCAGCCATACTGCTGAAACATGAGTGATTTGAACTCTGAGGTTATGATGATAACATAAATTGCAAGCAACTTATTCTCGGTAATCTTTTAGAAGGCAATAACTTCCAAACCAGATTACAAAATGAGCTCTACAGGCTCATACATGATGTATCAGGAAAAGCAATAATAAGGCATTTATTTTTAAGAGCGAGAACTTATTTCCTTATCCCTTGAAGAAACTTTGCCACTGCAGTGTTAATAGTATTTCTCAACTTCATTTTTTTTTTCATTCTTATCTGGACTTGAAAAATAGTGTGATTATGAAAATCCATGTTTGCTTCTTTTTTAAAAAAATACAGAGCTTCTGAACATTTGGAGGTACCACAAGTCTCGGTTTATTCCACATTTGCAAAGGTTGGATTTTCTATAAATGTATATATGAATTAAAACATCATATGTAATGTTTTTCAGTATTATCCTGCAGTTTCGAATGATGGGAACAACTATGCACATTTGTCATCATAAAACAGGTGCTTTAAAACATATTAAGATAAATATTTGAACCAAAGTTGCGTCTGATCAATAACAGCAATAGTCAGGCAACCTGACTTAATATGTTGTTTTTATGGCAGGATAGCAGCTGAAATTACATTCACTTGTCCTGTTAGTCATAGCTATATGGGGCAATTATTTTCCATTGTTGTTTGTTTGAACTGTTCATTAAACCCGAATGTATTCTGAATAGCAATTTCTAAAGACTGATGATGGCTTCCAATTAAGGTCGGAATAGGTGCTTGTAAATAAATAACTTCTGTAGTTTCACTGTAGTTCAGTAAACATCCATTGTATTAATAGAATTAAGATTGTGTATTATTAATAAAATAGAGCCAAGCAATATATTATAAATGACATTTTGCTCATTTTAATTAAAATGTGTCTAATTTAAAGAAATGAGGGGTTGGGAATTAGTTTGGACAACAGAAAATAATTCCTAGTTGTCATTTCATGAGAGTAACTTATTAACGTTATTAAAATGTTCTTTAGCTGGTAGTTTTCATTTGAATTGAAGAGATATGCAATGTATTGTAACTACTGAACATGAAAATAGGGTTTATGTGTCATAAGCAGAGAGATTTTGCATGTGCAGAAATGTCAATCTGAGAATGTTGTTTCTGGGAAGAGATCTGTGCCATGAATGTAGCATGCACCTAGCAATGCACCTAGCTTGGCTTTTCCATGAAGTACATGGCTCTTTACTGGAAAGCTGCTAAATAGAATGCTGCTTTTGTAGGGTATTATTTTCAAACCTCATGTTCCTCTTCTAAGACAGAAAAATCCTAAAAAAATGTGTGGCTCCTAATTCTGGTTCTAGAACATCCACAATAGATACTTAAATGCATTATGTTTACAAATTACTGAAAATAATATGGTAACCTGAAGGACAACATTCTGTGCATATTTGTTTGTTGTGTAGAATGAATAAAGTTACTTTTCAGGTCTCCAGTGATTTTCTAAGATTACACAATTGTTAACAGAACTAATACATTGTATTCTTAATTAAATATAATTTACCCAATTGTCTCCCTTTATAATATCTATTTTAAAAAAATAACATTGGCATAATATTTTCATAAATAAAGGGTTGAGGTAAAATTGAACAACAACAACAACAAACTGTGGATGTCTTTATTTCTACTTGTAAAACCTGATAAAGTCTAAAAAAAAATTAATATTACTTTCCCCTTTCGTCTCTTATGTAAGAAGCACAGCTGCACAGTCATTGTATTTTAATAAATAATTGAAACTGTTTTGGTGTAATGTGACAAAGTCTTTAGAGAGCAGAAAAAATATGAGTACCTCCCACTAGTTCCTGATGTTTTCTATGTCTTGTCTAAGCTTGAGGCAGCTGATGATAATCTGTTGGAAAAATCGCTTTGCAGGAACAAAAAAATACCATTCACTAAATAGTTAATCACAATTCACTCTTTTACAGTAGGAAAACATTGGTCTATCTAAAGACACAATGCTTTCTAAAACACTGCTCAGTGATAGCTGATATTCAAGTTCATGTAGTCCTCTACATATAACAGTACACTTAGTGACCATTCAAAGTTACAACAGCATTAAAATGTGACTTATGATTCGGTTTTCACACTTATGACTCTTGCAGCACCCCATGGTCACATGATCAACATTCAGACACTTAGCAACTGACTCATATTTATAATGGCTGCAGTGTCCCGGGGTCATGTGAGTTCCTTTTCGGTCCTCCTGATAAGCAAAGTCAATGGGAAATTCAGATTCATTTAACAACTGTTACTAACTTAACAACTGGCAAGAAAGGTTGTAAAATGGGACAAAACTCACTTAATATCTCAGCAACAGAAATTTTGGGCTTAATTGTGTAGATATTTTCAGTGTAGGTATAGAAAGGTTGGTTTGAAAAAAGCTTCAAAACTGCCCATTACTGGTCAGCATGTTGAAAATGGACTTAATGGCTCAACTGAAGTATGGCTGTGTGCTTCTGGGGAAGAAACATTGCCTTGCCATTCTTCCTGGAGGTTTTCAAATAGAAGGTGGATAGTCACTTCTATAGGTGTTTAATGAAGTCCAAATTTTGAGCAAGACTTGAATGAGATGATTACAAGGTTTCCTCTGAGTTATATTAAGGAGATCGATACTGGCATTCCAATGATTCTATGATTCTAACATGGAAAAGCAAAACAACCTCCCCCCCTCATATTTTAAAGGTCAGTTCTTATTCAGGGTGAAATTAATGCCCAAATTGAGCCTTATGTAATTGCTGTTGCAAAAGATTTGAAGATGCATCGAAGTTTTGGAATGACCTACAAAAATTGGAAGTAGCTTGCTGTGGAAAAATTCCTCGAGTCTTTTCACCAGGTTATTTTTGGATGATCCTTATATTACATTTGAGTGTATCATGTTCACATATAAGCCATGAGAAAATATTTGAAGGAAAGACTGATTAATTAAATCTATTGCCCTGAAAGATCTGTGATTAGAATAAATTATACTTTTCTTTCTGTTCCAACTGGAAAAATGATTGTTCATCAATAACAGATTTGGAAGCCTTTGGCTACATCCATCAAGTTATATTATAATTAATTGGAAAAAAGACTTAAGCAGTAATGAAAACACTACTACTGACTTTTGCTGTTATGATTAATTTTTATTGATAGTAGATGTACCGCTAGGCTCCTTTCTATGTAAATGTCTAGCATTTTGCAAAGTCATTAGAAGTCAAATTAAAAAAATTCTTCAGTCATTGTGAAATGCAATTTATCTCATAACACCATTCTATTAACCAGCATTTTGTTCGGTTTCTCATTGCAGGAAATATGGTAGTAGCATTATCATGCTGGAACTTTTATTCTGGGAAGCCTCAAAAATTGCACAATATTGAAAATGTTGAATATTGAAAATTATGATTATATACAGACTATATTAAGCTGGGTGAGATATGTTTTATATTGCCCATCCAGCAAAGGTTCCATGAAGAGTTTCTAAAAGTAACACAAAAGTACTACAAAATAATAATAAAAAAGAATAGAGCTGATAACATTTTTTTAAAAAGTTGCATAGAATCATTATGGGCCTGCCAAATGTGAACGTCTTTCTTACCTGAATATATGTTGTCAAGCTGTACATATAGCAGACCACTATAGAGTAGTAGTTCCAGAGAAAAGATCTCAAGATGATAATTATTGGGAATGGTCTGCCTTCAAATCAGCCTGAAAAATGGTTGCCAGGCTGGAGTTGAAGGTTCAAGGATACTATTTCCAATGAAAAAATTCATTGCTTATTAAACTAAACAGACTCTTTAGATTGCCTTCATATACTCAATAAAGGATATTAGGCTGTCTATATACATGGAGAGTCATTTTTGTCCTTTAAAGTTATTAAAAGGTATTTCTTTGCACTGGGAGCACATGAGGAATATGCGAAATGCATGCCTGCAAGCATGCAACCTTATTCATTCTAATTTAAACAAAGGTTAAGCTGAGTATTTCTTACCTTCTCATACTTTCTTTTGAAGTATGAGCAAATAGAAATCATGTTCATCAATTAGACGTTCAGGCGTAAAGTTCTCAAAGGGGAAGGAGGCTTTTCCAATGGAAACATTCACATCCGTGTCGGAAGTACCAAGGCACTTCTGAGTTGAAAGGATTAGTTGGTGACATCACCAGGTGACATCCAGTTGGAGGCTCCTTTTATGTTTTAAACAGGAGCTGGAGTGAATGACAGCAGCTCACCCCATCCCACGGCAACATTCAGGTCTCGAACACTGGCTTGCTGCTTGTCAAACCAGTGTCCTCACCATGCAAGCCACCACTGTCCTTAATGGAAACACTGAGGCCCTTTGAAAGAATGTGATGTGAGCATATACAATTTTCAATGCCTATAGAAGTTTTGAGTTACAAAGCCACATGTGCCTCCCAAGTCATGGAATTGGCCTTTACAAATTATCACTATTATTTCCATTTTTATAGAACTGGAAACTATAAATCTACAAATAACCACCAAATTTAGTGAATATATTTATGTAATTTCTACATTTCATTAGGCAAAAATTTGACCAGATGTTCATACCAACAAATGGACCATGCTTTATCAAAATTCCAAGTTGCAGAGAAATTATGAAAGCACCTTTCTTTGAAAGCTGTTACAATTTTTTGTTCTTTATTTTGATATGTTAGAGGCAAATAAACAAAAAAGTAAGCAGAAACTTATTCT